AACTAAAATCAAGGATCAATATTTGACCACAAACCTCATGTAGAAACATGACCTCATTTGATCCCCGATCTATATAATTCTATAATTATGAACATAGAGTGTTGAAAGTAATTATGAATATATAGTTCTGTAATTGTGAATATAGAGATTCAATAATTGTGAATATGAAGTTCAAAAATTATGAATATATAGCTTTGTAATTATGAACATATAGCTCATTAATTATGAACATAGAATTCTGTAAATGTGAATGTAGAGTTCTATAATTATGAATATGAAGTTCAAAAATTATGAATATATAACTTTATAATTATGAACATATAGTTCAGTAATTATGAACATGGAACCGTGTCCACCTTGCAAGGTGGACACGGTTCCAAGGTATAACGATTGTTGTCGGCTGCAACCTCCGATTTTTTTTTTTTTTTTTTTTTCGGGGGTTGTCTTATCTTTTGGGTTAGCCTGCAACCCGATCATTATTCATGGACTATAGTACACACACCCGTGTAGAACTTAAATAAAAATATATTTTTTTAATATACTAAGATACATTATTTGTATACTAAAAGTATATTATTTTATATAATATCAAATCATAAATAATATACATTTACTATATTCAAAATGCACATTTTATTTATAATTCACACAACTGTATATACCATGGTGCATGGTCCATACAAAATAAAAAATGAAAAAAAAAACACACACACAAAAATTCAACAGTTATGTCATGGACCCGGGTCCACCTTGCCAATGTGGATCTGTGACAAAATACACAGTTTATATACTGAATGTTCACAATTTGCATATTGAATGTTCACAATTCAAATTGTGAACATTTAGAATATAAAATGAGTAAATTTCAATTTTGGTCCACTGATTATTAAACTTGTGTTAATTGCAACACCCGACTTTCAAAAGTATTAATTTAGTACCTTGACTATGTAATTTTTATTAATTTTAGTCACGCCGATCAAATTACCGGCCAAATATGACCGAAAAAAATTTAACTCACCACTTAATCTTAAATAGTACAGGCAAAAGTGTCTTTTATCCTAATCTCCTTCACCTACATCCTTCTTTCAGCGCGTCACCAACGTCACGAACCCAGTCGTGACTAGGAGCTGCTCAACAGGCTGGTGACGCCCTCGTTCTTGGTCATTTGGGTTATGGCGTCCATGCGCATCATCATCACCATTGTCGCCTCCTCCAAGCTCCAATCCAAACACGATGAAGCAGAAGAATACAAAGAGAAAAAAAGCACACCCAACAAAATCAAAGAATGCATTCAAAGTAAACCACAATTGGAATGGGATAAAGTGAAACACTGGGAGATTCAATGTCAGAAAATGGGAGCAAATTTAGACCTGCGCATGAGCTATGTAGAACTTCAGGTCTATTCATCTCGTTTGCAATTCTCTCAAGATGCATGCTTTGAGTTTCGCTCAGATTCGATCCCTTTTCAACGAGACTCCATTGCTTAAATAACCATTGTCCGCATAATTAGCTATTCCATTTGCCAAATTAGTCACGGTTGATTGGGTCGACGAGGTTGCATTGAAGGGAGGAGAGGTGTGACCTGAGCTCCGAATAGAGAGTGTCCAGTGGGACGAATGTGCAGAGGTCCAAAATGTAGGTCTTGTCGTCGAAGTCGTCAGAGAGGAACAACGGAGGGTTTAGCCCATTGTGGGGGGTTGGCATCCCTCGGATCGCCGAATAGGTCGGTGGCAGAGCGCGACGGAGCTTCTGGAGTCGGTGATTGTTGAGGAGAGCAGACATAACATGAAGAAGCGAGAAAGAGGTTGGACATAACATGAAATGACGCTTTTGTCCCGTTAAAATTTTTGGCCGGTGTGATCAAAATTGATAAAAATTGCATAGTTAAGGTACTAAATTAATGATTGCCAGCAACTCATGTGGGCCAACTTGTGAAATCCACAAGCCTATGCTTGGCAGAATTTCTTGGCTCTTATCCATCACCTCCTTTGGGGAGTTTTTATACTATGGCCAGGGTCGACATTGCAAGGTGGACCTTGGTCCTAAACAATGTATAAATTGTGTATTTTTAGTATTAGAATTGTGAATTTTTAGAATATAAATTGTGTTTCTAAGTCAAAACATATAATACAATACATGATCCTTACAGTATACAAATTGTGAATTTTAAAAAAGCAAATTGTGAACATTTAGTATGTAAATTGTGAATATTTAGACTTGAATTCACCTTGCAAGGTAGACCCAAGTCTACATAATAATTTGCAACCGTGGGGTGGTTTAGGATTACTGCCATTCTTGTATTTTCCCTATAAACTTTCCCTCCTGAGGTGGCATGACCTTATTGGAAGTTAAATTTAATTTTTAATTAGTAGTGGGATAACCAATTCATTGACTCCCCATGAATAAATGCCACATTATGAGGAAAAAGTTTGGTAGGGAAAATCAAGAGGGGAAAAGAGCATATTCCTTGTTGCAAATAGCTTCTAATACTTAAACATCAATGCTATATGTGGACTTCAAATCTGCTGGCTGCATAGTTACACTTAAAAGCTAATCCAAAAAATTGTTTACCAAACAAGTTAACTGTCTCAACATTTGATCTTGAGGAATGAAAGTATTGTCTGGGAAAATAAGTTTAGGCATCAATTCTGAGCCAATATGTATTCTAGTTGCCATACGCCAAAGTATGACTAGCAAATATGTATATCTATAAATTGATATACATTTATATTCTAAAAAATATTTGTACTCTAGAATTTAGCCTTCTTTAATCAATTTGGGGTAAAATATCATTTTATTATAAACTCGAGTACCCTTCCGGAAGAAAAATCAAACGATCACCATATCTGACGTCTAATGACACTGAAGGCGTCTACTTCTGCATGGAGTTCTACTACATTGACTCTCACTTTTACACCTTGATAATGTGGCAATAGATAATAAATTATCTTCATCCTATAGGTCCCAAGGAAAATGTCAACATCAAAATTTTGACTGAGGAAGTAGAACTTGAGAGTCCAAGTAATATTTTATTTCTGGATTTTCTGAACTTAGAACTTTGTAAGATTCTGGACTTCAAATTTTTGAACTGCAAAATAAGTTCAGGGTGATAAACGCATCAATTAGGAACACACAAGTGGTACAACCATTTACTATTCTACATTCTTAGCTTTTTCGTTTCCATGTCCTAATTATCAATAATATTTCAAACTTAACCCATCAACTTTCCAGGTTACTTTGCATTGTATATGGAGATCAAATAAAAGGCTTACCTGCAATTATGAAAAACTCTTCCATAGAACCAGGTAGGTTTATATTATTAGCTTGCTTCCAAAACCCCTAAATTGTTTCGTTCTTCAAAACTTTGTAACAGGTCAGTCATTCATGCTCTTTTCTCCATTATGTTCTGCTCGCTAGAGCCTTTGCTGTCCACCCTGTTGCAACAGTCCTATTTACGTTGTTTACTCCTTTCACCAGACTCTTAGCCACCTCAAGATTCCCCTAGCACCAGCTAAACTTGTATCCATTTCAGACCTGCATTTCTGCAAACTATCTCATGCATATTACCTCTCTCCTCACAGTATTGCTGAAGACTAAGTGTGGGTCTTTTTCGTGGTCCTCAGAGCCAAAGTGTCCTAATGTTTGCAGTTTCTATTTTATGACAAAAATAGCCTATAATGAGAGCTACATTCTGCAGAATTGTAAGGTATAACCAAACATATAGGATGGAAAAGACTTCAGAATAAGACATCTACATTCTTGTATGTTCACCTGTAACAAGATTGGTTGTTCAAAATAATGCGTTCATATTCTGGATTTGCATGAAGAATGTTCATCAAAGTTGGTCTTCTGCCCAAACCTCTGTATTTGAGAAATCTCAACTGTTCATGCAGCAAACAGTTGCTGCCTTCCAAATAAAACCCCTATTTCTCCAAATAGTTATATTGCAGCTGCCCTTCCAAAGACCTGCATGTGTGGGAATAAAAAGTTAGCTCATATATATATATATATATATATATATATATATATATATATATATATATATATATATATATATATATATATATATATATATATATATATATATATATATCAACTCTAACCTCATGCTAGCATAATATCCTGTGAAAGATTTTCCAACTTTTTATCACCACTGAATCGATGGCTTTGTACCCCAAGAGTCTTGTAGTCCCAAACAATTTCAGATACCTCATCTTGAGGTAAAGATATAGATTGCCTTTTCACCGACTTAAGCAGTTGACAGAAAAATTTTGGATCTTGTAATTTGGCATACTCATGCAACACTCTCTCGTGATCAGGGATCCAATTCCTGGGGAATGGAGTGTAGTCACAGGATGGGATGAAAGACATGCGAGAGAACTGAACACCTTCAATAGCATCAATAAGTCCCATCCTCAAAAGATCAGAATACTCAGGTGCAGAATTGTTAGTATGCTCCCTTAAGGGACGACTTAGATCACGCGAAGCAATCTTATATACCTTGGCACGAGATTTCAATCTATATCTTGCAGCATATAACTTAGCCAGAGAGCTCCGGATAACATAAGCACAGAAACCTACCACTTTTCTCCTATTATCCGCAAATCTATACCAATCAGCCAGGGTTTCGAGTAACTTGTTCATTTGAGCATTAGTATGGGCTTGACCCGAATAAAGCATTGGTGTGCAAGGTAGTGGTTCTGGATCTTTATCACCCTTCACAAGCTTCAGCTGCCTAAACTGGCGAATACATTGCTGTAAGCTGGCTGTGACGGAAAGCAAAGAGCCTACACCTTTCTCACTCACAATGTTTCCACCAGATGCTGTGTAACGAAGTGTAGGGTATATAACACGGCGACAAATTATGTGATCCAAGAATTGAATTCCCCTACTAATGTGCTGAATTTCAATCTTTGAATTATCCAATCTTACCCCATACTCCCTATCACAAAACTCAATTATCTCCTTTCTAATATCCATAGCATCCTGTCTAGACCCTCTAATGCCAATCAAGAAATGACCCCCAAACCGAATATAGTCCATCTTCCTGGTCTTTCCCTTCCCACTGGAAGGAACAAACTCGGGCCAAGATGGATTGTGACAACCATCATCAATAGAATATTTCCAAATACTGTCCTGCTCACAAGGCCTAAAGAACTCAACTATCTTTTCTTCCATCATATGATCAAGCTCATTAACATATATATTAGCTATCAATGGACTAAGAATTCCACAATAACCATAATTTGGTACCTTTGCAGCCTCCTCTGGAGAAAAATCATAGAATGTTCTCAACCAATACGGGTCTGGCTTTGGCTCATTTGCCTTCAAAATTCTTTTCTTTGTATGGTGGACTTTACTCTTCTTCTTCTTCTTATCCATCTTCTCTTCTTCATCTACCCCTCTAACTCGAGTGCACGCAGCAGCGCTCAACCCTGATTTAATCAAGCTTATCACCTTCTTATCTTTCATAGCTTTTCCGATGCAATCCATCACAATATTGACACCAAAATTGTCGAAAATATCACTAGCATCGCCTCTCAAAAACCACAAATACCCAGCAAAGTTACTTCTGATGGTCCGAATGACCGTATGGGGGTTCCTGCCAGGACGAAAAGCATGCGACTTAGGAGAAAACATGGGCTCGAAAATTGGCTCAAGAATCATCAGAAGAGTTTCCTGAACTATCCGATCCTGAAACGCTGGGGTTTTGGAGGTGAGGACAGAATTGAGCTGGCGGCGTGAGAGTGTCGAAATCGGCCTCTCATTGGGTCCCCGAATTATAGGATGCATCTTGTCGTTCCAGATGAATTTGCCCGAAACGACAGCGTTCCGGAGGGAGACGAGGTCGGAGAGGATGTTAGTGTGGAGTGCATTGCGAGGAGGAAAGGAGCCGGTGACGTGAGCGCAGGTGCGCTGGTAGGCGAGGACCCATAGGTCCAGCTTTGAGAGGAAGCCGGTGAGGTTGGTGAATGGCTTTCCCGGTTGTGAGAAGGTCTTGACCCAGAGGTTGGATAACACTTCAATTGGGTCTTCCTTGAGGAGGCTGTTTGGGTCTTGCTGTAGAGGTGGGCTAGCCACCGGCGGTGGAAGAGAATGGCGACGGTTGGGGTGGTACTTGCGAGAAAAGGAGCATACCGAGGTGGTGCTCATAAAGCGTTTGATTTTTGTTCTCAGTGACATTTCTCTGTGTAACGGGGGCAGATCCTACTGAGTGTGGGCGAAGGTCAAATAAATTCAAAAATGTCAATGGCCCAATATCAAACATCGATAATATGATTCAAATATAAAAATATAAAATACATTATAAATTACAATACAAAGTTTATCGTTAATCAATCCTCCTACATTACAATTTACTAATTCAAACTTCAAGTAGTGGACTAATAGCATATTGAAATTTGAAATTTTGGAATCAATAACATACAACATACTGGAATAGTGGACTAATCATTAAACCAATAAACCATATGGATTATGGAGTACTTAATTTAAAGATAATATACACAGAATATACACAAAATACAGACAATATACACAGAATAATTTTTTGGGGCTATATGTATATATACAGCATACTGATATAGGAATACTTGACCAAAAAATCATATGGATTATGGAGTACTTAATTAGTTAATTTACATACAATATACACAAAATAATTTTTTTGGAGATGTATGTATATATACAACATACTGATACAGTGATGCTAGAATAGTGGACTAATCATTAAACCAGTAAACTGAATTATTGAATACTTAATTTACAGACAATATACACAGAATACATTTAAAAAAAAAAAAGGTTGAAGATTGAAGATTTAGGGAATAAGGGATTTATAATTTATGAAATTAGGGCTAACTAATTAAGAGAATAAGGATGCAGATTGGTTCTAACCTGAGCATTTGCAAGTTGTTGTCGATTTGCTGGTTGCTAGAGACGGAGTGCCGGACGGATGGACGACAATGGAGTAGTGAGCTGAGATGAAGAGAGAATATGGAGCTACTGGTTATGGGGCGTAGGTGCGACCTGGGTGGGTAGTGGGCAATAGTGGTGTCGGTGCGTAGAATCGACCGAGTGAGGCAAGGAAGAGCCCCTGGAAGTAAAGGTTGAAGATCGATTGAAATTGGAAGTCTCACAAGTCGCTTGGAGGCTTGAAACTCAATCATTGAAACCCTGAAACAGCATAATAGAAAAGAATTTTTTTTTAAATTATATATATGTATAGTTTTGTTTTTTTTTTTTTTTTTTTTGGGGGGAGAGGGGGGGGGGGGGGGCATTTCGGGTTCATGTTTGACCGACACTAAAATGGTTCACCCAAAATTTTTGGAGCCTTATATTTTTAAATTCGAAAATCGAACTGAAATCATCGGGTGCTCTACGAGTTCGGGTATTTCGGATCAACACAGGAACAAGAATTCTAAAAATGGGGAGGAAAATTTGAAAGAAAATATCTTAACACAACCAGGTTTCAGAATTCAGATCTTACCTAAGTTCTAGGAAAAAAAAAACACATTGCAGCAACTATTTTAATACAATAATAGTATATAGTACAAGTATTGATTACAGTCTTTAGCATCCAAATTTGTAAAATAGGGTTTAGGACACAGTCTTAGACTATCAACCAAAGTTTGATTAGATTACCATTTTTATGAATAATCTTTTCAAAATGAGACGAGGTCTTTCCTTCATTTCTTTTCTTTTTTTGCCTTTTTGTTGAGTTGCAGCATTTTTTGTTTGTTGCAGAACTAGTTAAGATGGAATTGTAGGGATGGGCGTTTCGACATTCAGTTCGATTTCGGTTTGTTTGGTTTTTAAAAAATGAAACCATTCGATATAACATTGTAGTTTGATTTGGTTTGAAAAAGTTTGATTTCAGTTCAGAATTTGTTCGATTCGGAATTCAGTTCGGTTTAGCATATGAACATTCAATGCTCGTGGGAAAGGGGAAATATAGATGAAATGACACAAATGTCCTTGTTGATTGTTATTGTTATTATTATTATTACACAAAGGATATTTTAGTCTTTATACCACTTTTTCCCTTCTCATTCCAAATAATTATTTTCCTCCCTACCAAACAATGTAATTTGAATTCTTATCTTATTCTTTTTCCACAGAATTGCAATTCCTTTCCTCCCTAATTCCTTCCTCCCAACCAAACACCTAAAATATGGTTGAATTGTTAATAGAACAGACTTAAGACAATATGGCAGGCATTCATTGAAAAATGCACAAACAGATTTAACCAAATGTAGCACAATAATGCAAATAAAAGAGAGATGATAGCTTGCAACCTTTACTTTTTAGAATTCACATTTCAAGCAATATGACTGGTTTGTATAACAAAAAAGAAAAAGAAGTATGAAGCTTTCATAGGAGAAAAACAAGAAATTGTAAACAACTTCAGTGACTCTTAGAATCTAAGGACCAAGAAAGAGCCAAAGCACCCAAATCATAACTTATCCCTGAAGCCAAGTTAATAATTACTGGATTCTGAGACTGGAAATCAACAATGTTGTACTGCAAGTATTGTTTATGTGGCTGACTTCGTTGGAATGAAAACTGGAAAGGGTAAAAGCTATGTGTCGTGTTTGCAACACTACCGTAAAAACTTATACTTCCAGGGTATCGCTAGCTTTCGACAGGTAGCACAGAGTTGGTGTTTTAGCTCAGGCAATGGTTTAGATTCTCCAGTTTCTGTATCCAAAAGAAGGGGAAAGGGTGGTTTATATATTGAGAGATATAACCACCCAACCCGTATCAGCCATAGAGGAGGTGCGAAAATCTTGGAGGGTGGAGGAGACCAAGCGCATGTACGCACACGTTCTTTGTTAAAGAGAAAAGTGCGGACAAGGTGGTTACTTAACCCACAAAAATAGGGTCGAAAAAGTAAAAGGGCCGCAAAACGTTGACCCCACCACACGGCGACGCGCGTGCGAACCGGGTGGGCGGGCGGCGGTAGCGGCGCGCGCGTGATTTCCTCTTATTTCCTCTCCATAGCTCTTCAAACCTTCTAAAATGACTTGGTGTATAAAAGGGTAGAAAAGATGGGTTAGCTTAGCAATGTGGGACTCCAAGAAAAAGGACATGCCTTTTTCCTTTTAAATGTTCTCAACAATCCCCCGACATTTAAAGGGACAAGGCTATACCCAAAGGTGCCTAAGCAAGCACAAGAGCTTAATTTCCATGCCAGTGTACGAGTCATGTAGTGTCATTAAGTAACTTGTTACCCGCGAGTGAATCAAATCTTGAACTCTTCGGTTAACTGAGTTTTGAACTTAAATGCACTCATTAGCCCTAAGGAAACCCCTGTTTGGTCTATCTCAGCATAGAGCTTCAACTCTGTCAAATCTGTCTCAATACAGACTTTTAATTCTGTCAATGTAAGTCTTTCCGTGACTACGTTCACGAATTTCCTACCTAATTGGGTGTCAAACCCATCTCCCTTGACGTATCAATGACGGCATTTCCATTTAGGCCTTTTGTGAAAAGATTTGAATTATTCCTTTCCGATCTCACAAATTCCATTGTGATAACTCCATTTAATATCAAATGCCGTACAGACTCATGTCTGACTCTTATGGAGTGAATTCCATTTTTGGTCCTACTGTTATAGGGGCGTTTCCAATTTTTGTCCACCTTAATTTTTTTTGCCACTTTATAACCACTATTATTGAATGTGTTCCACTTTTAGTCCCACCGTTAGTATTTCCATCAAGAGGCCGTGTAATCTAAAGGGGTATTTTGACCTTTCTTCTCATCTAAGACTATGTTTGACTACAGAAATGAGAACATTAAACCTAAAACCTAAGAAACCTCGCCGGCCCATGTTGGAACGAACGAAACGATGTAGCTTTGACTTCCCATTCTCATTGTTCGAAGAGCCATCTTCGAATATCGGAGGAGGAGGACGAAGCGCCTGGATTAAAAGAGAAGAGACAAACATAAAAAGACCAAAATACCCTTTGATTATACGGCCTCTTGACGGAAATATTAACGGTGGACTAAAAGTGGAACACATTCAACTGGAATTCACTCGACTCTTATGTGTCTTCTTTTCCCATTGTAGACACTATTTTGCGCAACACAGATGGCAGTTTGTGAGTCACAATGCATGGGCACAGCATGTAACACCCTGTGTTACGCCTTTTAATCCCAGATTAATTATTTAATTAACTCCGTTAAAGAATAGTTAAAAAGGATTTAATATGGTCAGGATCCCTTAATTAATTAATATAGTCCATGAAGGACCGTGGACCCTTGTTTATAATAAGGACTTTAAGTCTATTAGGAATAAAGAAAGTGGGCCTTTACTACTCATATTCTAATTAGGAATCCTAGACCTATATACCTGTTAGGAATAGAAAGTAGATCTTTACTATTCAGACTCTGATTAGGATTCCTAACTCTATAAATAGGGGATTAGAAAGCAATTAGAACCCTTACCACCCATAGTTATATTACACGAAATTATTCCCAAGAGTTTCCCCACCACCAAGCCTAGGGAGATCTGTGACAACCCAAAATTTAATTTTATAAATCCAATTTTAAGAAATTCCAAAATAGCCATTTTCACTCCATTAAAAATTTTTGAGAAAAATTGGTGCTTGAATAAATTATTTTGAGTTACATTTTAAATTAATTCAACACCGAAACTTATTTTAATTTCAAAATCCTAAATTTTTGGGTACATCGCATACCAAGTTTTAATCCCAAAAGTCAATATGAGTGAAACCGGGAGAAACCTGAGAAACCTAAACTAAGTAGTTGTCTAGAAAGTATTATTGGAAAAATACATTTTGACCCCAAAAACTATCTTAAACTATGAATCTAGACTTGGTCCATGAAGCTTGGAAGACCACAACCATCCAACACCTTGCCTGATCTTTTTTGAACAACCACCAAACTACCATCTCGTCCTCCACCAATCATTTAGTATCATCCTAGGGTTTTGCACCCTATAAAACCCACCTTATTCCCTCATTGATTCCCTGATCTCTTTCTTTGCCTCACCAAAGTTTGTCTGCCAAGTAGAAGGAAGAACAACACAGTAAGTTTCATCTCCATCTCTTTTCAATCCTAGCCTTCCATTTCCATTCTAACTTTCATCCATTCTCTGAGGTTCTAGCCTTAAGCTTTGTATGGTTTGTTTGGAGAGTTTAGGTGGTGAAGGAGGTGCTACCTAAGTTGGGAGGAAGAAGAGATCCAAGCTAGGAGTGCAAGCTACAAAGGTATAACACCATGGACTTCCACTTTAGATTTTGGCTCTATGAAGCCTTGTTTATTAGGTGGAATTGAGTAGAAATGCTAGTTTTTGAAGTGTTTGAGCTAGGAAGTGATCTATTACTTGTCTTTGATGTGTTGTTAGTGTTTTGGATGAGTTGGAGTTGGCTGAGTTTGTTTTGTAGATGAAAGAATATCATCTAGTGCACAGACAGTGTGCACTAGATGAAGTAACGGCCCTAGCCAACGACCCAACAAGGGGACCGTTGGCTAGAGCTGTGGCCGTTCGGGCCTAGGGAACGGCCCTAGGAGAGGGCCGTTGCCTAGGCCGGCATTCTTACGGTGTGAGTGGGCGGGCTATGATGAGCCCTGCCCCGTGGTTCCTGAGTTACTCCTGTGCAGTGGCCGGGCTCTTGTGGCTCAGCTACGTGTCGTTTCGGACCAGGTGTCACGGGCCCTTGTGGCACGGTAGCTCGGGATCGTCTTGACGCACGTTTTGGCTTTGATTTCGTGAATTTGGATTAGAAATGAGCATGTTATGATGGACTTAGTGATGAAATTGCTTCACAGTATGTTTGTTTGAGTTCACTGTATTAGGAATTGCTTTGTTTTGTTCCCCTGATGCTATTTGTGTATTGAATAAAGAAGCATGATCACTTTGTGAATAAGAATTATTAGAAAAGCATGAGTTGAATGTGTTGTCTGATTCAATAAAATTTGAAGTCTATTTTGATCGTAGAATTATATAGAGTTTGATATGTTGCAAACTAGCATGATTGTATGTTCTTGAGAGTTCAATGTGATATATATATATATATATATATATATATATATATATATATATATATATATATATATATATATATATATATATATATATATATATATAGATTTGAAGCATGTCGTACAGTAAATTGCATTCCAAGTGTTTCATG